ACTGCTTAGTGGAGATGAGAGATGGTTCTACTCTGGTTCAACAAACAGTACCGTGGTCTCTCTCGAGAAGAAAATCCAACTTAGCAGTCCAAACAGGGCACGCATTCTGAGAAGATTCTTTTCTACTGCTCGTGGTGCGCGGGGAATGCTGCATTAACGAGCTGCCCTGTAAGAACACACGGTCACCGCTACCATTTGTGCCGCTCAGCTCCAGAAACCCGTGGAAACTGTTGGAGAAAAATGACCGAGAATAGCTTCGGAGCACTCGTTCGTGAGTACCTACTTTGCTGTGAAGACCTACCAAATAACTGAGAAGCAAGGCTGGAAGACCACCCTCATCATATTTTCCTAACGTAATCCCCTACGACTGCTATATCCGCCTCCTTAAGGCTTTCTTAGCTAAGAAAACTTTCAGCAACTTTGATGACATCAGTCGAGAGGCTGCCGACTTACTCTACTCGCAGCCTCCCTAGTTCTGGAAACGGGGGAATGCTCGCCTACCCATTAGGTGGAGCACTGTAGTGGCTAACAATGACGAGTATATTGTTGACTAATTTTCCATTGTATGTTGAGTTAGAAAATAAAAAAGAAAAAAGTCACAACAGTGACTAAACTTCCTTCCCAACCTATTGTATTGCTTTGCTTTTGTGGCAGTTTGCAGCTTCAGATTAGTAATGGAATGTTGTCATTGAAGCAACGATTTTTGCATTACTGATTAGTCATTTATTTTGCTTTTCTGTTGAGCATTCAATCTCAATGAGGCTTTCAGTTTGCTTAAATATTCAGTTATTTATCCAAATCTTTCTCATTTATAGGTTGTCATGGACCGAGTGCGCCGTCTTGCCGAAGCCTGCAAAGGATTACAGGGTAATGGGTTTCAGCGCATTTAAGTGCCATTCTTTCATTTTTTTCTCAAATCTCCAATCACCAGCGATTTGGATTAAGGTGGATTGTTTAAGGATAGGTCCGAATTCAGGGGAGCCTTTTCTAGTGCTTATTAGAGCAAACTCACAGAAGGAGACTTGAACATGAGCTTCTAATGGAACATCAAATGCTGCTGTTCGGAAAAACAAAATTCAAACCCACGGACATTGCTTCTACCCTGCAGATTGGTTTAATCCAACAAAAACAACCAGTCTTTTACCATTCATCTTCGCTGGATGGACTCATTTGGCACAGGGTATAGCCCAGGAATGGTG